TGTGGAGCTTCCTCTCACCCACCCTGAATATTATGAAGAGATGGGTATAAAGCCCCCAAAGGGGGTCATTCTCTATGGTCCACCTGGCACAGGTATGCTGGTTTGACACTTTATAGGTACTCAGCTCATATCTTGAGTAGCAGCATTTGTTAAACCATCCAGTGAGGACACCACAACTATTCTAGGGTATTCAGATCAGATTCACTTTCCTGACCCACTTGTACTGAATACGTATTTGTCAATGAAAGTGTGAATGAATCATGATAAAAATACATGTATATATATCTGATTGAACATGTTCCTGAGGGTGTGCTGGGGATTGCCCTCTTCAGAGGTAAAGCAGGCCCCTGGGCCCAGAATCCTGGAGCCAGAAACAACCACTCTACTGCAGCCCCTAATCTTTCAGCTCAGGAAATTCATGTTTCAAAGAGGTTGGTGACTAACCCAGGGTGGCACGACTTTGGGCACTGAGCAGATAATAGCTGAAGCCATAATGGAGACCTGATGCTCAGCCACACACCTTTTACAGAGCACTGTCCTGAAGGGCTGGAGCCCAGCACTGGGCAGGTGAGCCCCTCAGAGAAGCGGGTGACCTGTTCAGTGATCCCTCTAGCTATTGAAGCAACCCAGCAACTGGTCATGGCTGCTTCTGGACTGTAAGATCCCATCTATTGAAAAGGCCCTCTTTTTCTTTTAGCCATCCTTAATTGATTCTCTTGGTCCAGCCCCTAAGCCTTTTCATCTGCCACTGTACCTAAGGGAACATCGTTGTCATATATCTCAAAAGTTTAGCTCCCTGTCCTTCCCACTCTGGATTTTTCTATGTCACTCCCCAGCTAGATTCCTCCTTGGGTTCCCCTATTGGTCTCAAAGTGCCAGTTGTGCTGCAGCTATTTCTGAATCCTGCAGCGGCACTCAGTCCTCAGGCATGTCCTCACTTACCATATAAAGGGGTTACCATCTGACAGATTTAAAATTCTCAAATTGGATATTCTTTGTTTTGGACTCAAAATAGAAATATCATGGTATAGAAAAGTATTGGAGATATGGTTTGAGATCTTCCTGAGAGCAGTGAGAGGAACTGCCTTTTCCTCAAAGGTCATCCCAGACTGAGAAGTCCTAAACTTTCCTCAGCTCTCATTTGTAGGCTCCATCAAAAGCTAGTTAGGGCTCACATGCCTGAGCTGACATCAAGCCCACCCAGATTAACTATGCTGGTGATAGAGCCATGTGACCAATGCTCATGAATCTTGGGGTTTGATTTTTAAAAAAAAAAGGGGGGGTTTAAATGTTTAAGTTGTAGATAGACACAATATCCTTATTTTTTATTTATTTTTATGTGGTGCTGAGGATCAAACCCAGTGCCTCATGCATGCTAGGCAAGCACTCTACCACTGAGCTCCAGCCCCAGTCCCTTAGGTGTTGCTCTTTAGGATCAAACCTAAGATTCCAGATGGTGTATCATCACTGATAACTCTGCAGTTTATTTGATTCTCTAACCCTGGGTTGGATGGGTCAGGTTAATTTTATATGCAGCTTTGAAGGGACCCAAGGAAAGCTCACCTAGAGGGAAATAAATATATACATTGCTAGTATAGATATTCTTCCTATAGGTAATTATAGTTTATAATTCTTTATTGGAAACTTTGGGTCAAGGTTTGAAACTAACCAAGTATGTAAGATATTTGCTGATATTATCGTTGATTAATTTAAGAAAACGGTTCAAAATAATCAAAACATGTTAGGTTCTTCTAAATTTCCTCTTACCTACTTAGGAGAACGGAACTGCAGGACTCCTGATGTGGTGTGCCTTTCATCACTGGGTTACCCCCATCTGTGATGACATCACTACTTAAGGTGGTGATATTTCTAAGTTAAAATAAGACTTGAGGGTTTTTTCTTATCCTTTTTCTTTTTATCTAAAATAGGTAAAACCTTGTTAGCCAAAGCCGTAGCAAACCAAACCTCGGCCACTTTCTTAAGAGTGGTTGGCTCTGAACTTATTCAAAAGTACCTAGGTGACGGTCCCAAACTCGTGCGGGAATTGTTTCGAGTTGCTGAAGAACATGCACCATCCATTGTGTTCATTGATGAAATCGATGCCATTGGGACCAAAAGGTAAACTTCTCCACCTGTTTTGCCTTAATCAAAGGTAAAAATCACACAGCTCTTTAAGAATGATCATTGGGCTCTGCATGGGTGGTGAGGTCTTGTTGTCTATGGCCTTCTGTGTGGGTGCTTTGGACTCTGCTCTCTAGAAGCTAGGTAGCAACTACCCAAGAGCAGGGTTATGTCTGGAAATTGGTCAGTCTTGAAGAACTACAGCTTGAGCACTTGCCCTGAGCAAGGACCACCAGGATTTGAGGGATAGAGCCATGAACATCGTAGTCTCTGCCCTTGATTTCACAGTCGGGTTGTGGGATCAGACACCAAACTGGAAAAGGAAGACAGAATCAGTACTCCAATTTCAGGCACAGAAACTGCTGTGAAGAATTTTGTGATCTGTAGCTTGGTTGATGGGGGTCTATTTGTGCTGCTGTAACAAAATACCATAGAATGAGTAAATTACAAAGACAGAAGTTTATTTTCTCACAGTTCTGGAGGCTAAAAAGTTCCAAGATCAAGGTGATGACATTGGTGTCTGGTGAGGGCTGCTTTTGCTTCCAAGATAGTCACTTGTTGCTCAGTCCTCATGAACATGTGGCAGAAAGGCAAAAGAGGACAAATGCTATGTGCTCATGTGGCAGAGTGAAGAGGCCTAAGCTAGTTCCCACCAGCTTTTTCTTTAGACACTAATTACCTTCCAACGCATAAATTTGGGGGGACACATTCAGAACATAGCATAGGATGCTAATTTTTTATGTTAGAAGAATGAGGGAGTATATTTGGATTGAGAAGAGAATGTTAAGGTGTTCTGTCATGGTAAGGTCTTTGCTGACCTTCCCCTTTAGCGGGAGATTTGGGTCTTTATTTCTTCTCTTTTTCCAAAGATACGATTCAAATTCTGGAGGCGAAAGAGAGATTCAGCGGACAATGTTGGAATTGTTGAACCAGTTGGATGGATTTGATTCAAGAGGAGACGTGAAAGTTATCATGGCCACAAACCGAATAGAAACTCTGGATCCAGCACTTATCAGACCAGGTTAAATTTACTTTTGTTTCATCTTAGAGAATTAATGTATTTGAGTGTGCTTTGGGGTGATTATAAACTGATACACCTAATAGCAAATGCCATAGTGAAACTTAGAAGGGGTATATCTTTGGTAAATCATATTCTAAGTTCTTGCATCTTAGCCCTTTGAATTCTAATCGTACATCTTGATCTTTTTCCCTTTTTAGCCTCAAACACTTGCTTTTTTCTTGAAAAAATAATTTGTATGACAGCTGGGGTTTATCATTTACATTCAGGTAGCTCTAGAAAAAACTAGTGATTTGAGCCACACAGGGTGGAGCATGCCTGTAATCCAAGCAGCTTGGGAGGCTGAGGCAGGAGGATCATAAGTTCAAAGCCCAGCTTTAGCAAAAATGAGCACTAAGCAACTGAGACTGTCTCTTAAATCAAAGTAGGGCTAGGGAATGTGGCTCAGTGGGTGCAGTGCCCCCGAGTTTAATCCTCGGTTACCCCCCACCCCAAAAGTGATTTGTTTGGCCTCTTTTGTAATGATTTTAGCCCGTAGGTCTTTCCTTTGTCACTAAATGTGCCATTCAAGAATTGCTTCTTTTATTTCTGAAGATACTAAAGCAGAGAGGATTTATTTTAAATGAGGTGAATTCAAATATAGAAATTTACTAAGTATTAAAGTAAATGTTCACTTTTTAAGATCTAGGTGTCATTCCCACAGAACACCCCCTGACTGAAACCACACCTGTGGGGAGACAGGATGAGGCCTCTTTTTGAGGGCAGAGCTGGGTCCGGAGCGCTGTGACTGGAAGCTTTCTATCTGCAGGTCGCATCGACAGAAAGATTGAGTTCCCCCTGCCTGATGAAAAGACTAAGAAGCGCATCTTTCAGATTCACACAAGCCGGATGACACTGGCCGATGATGTAACCCTGGACGATTTAATTATGGCAAAGGACGACCTCTCTGGTGCTGACATCAAGGTGAGTTAACTGGGCTGAGTCAGCTTATTTCTGGAAAGGTCACTCCTCTGTCTCAAAAGATTGTGCTCCTGGGGGGAGAGGTGTGTGTGGGTCTTAACATTTTCTTTGTATTAGTTTTACCATTACATCCGAATGGTAGGTTTGCTTTTTATTTGAAGGTGTTTTGTGAATTATTTTATGAAGTAAATGACCCCTAAGTCCTTGTAGCCACAATGATGAGTTACTGGCGTAAGTCTGCCACCTTCTCTGCAAGGCCCAGGTGTTCTAGGCCAGTGGAAGATTTGTCTTCCCACTGCATTCTGATAGGTTACACCAGATTGTACCTCTGGGCTTTATTACAAATGTATTTGAATTAAGATGTTTCTTCTCAGTTGCCCACAGGGTTTATAAACAAGGCCTAGCAGCAATGAATGTGAGCACAACTTGCTTTCTCTGGGAAGATGTGGGTCTTTGTAAGCTTAAGTGCCATGGCTAGGGAGGAGTGACATACACGGCGCTTTCCAGGCCAATGCCTCACTGAGCCTCTGGATAGCTGGCATCAGTAGTGGAAAACTAGGTTAGTTGCCTAGTTGGGGAGTAAAGTCTGTATTCTCTTTTTAAAACCATACAAACCAGCTTTTTATTTTGAAAAATGCCAAGCCTTCAGAAAAGTTGCCACAACAGTACCCACACCTACATTCCCACCTGGATTTATTTGTGGTTAACACTTTACCACTTGCTTTCTCTTCCTTTGCACAAGCACTCTCACTTTTTAGATAAACCATTTGAAATAAATAACCTGATAGCTATAACTAATCTAAGGGTCACAAGGGCTCTTATGATGCTTGACTTTGGGCAAGAACTTAAGTTTTGAGAAAATATTAGTATCAACACTGTAGTGCAACTTATACTATCTGACTGGAATACATGTTCTGACCCTTGGTAAATGAAATAGACCTTTATTCTCAATTGCCTCTAAATTCCAGGTGTAATTTCCTAGGCACGTTCTCTTTAATTTAAAAAAAAAAAAGAGCTACAGAAATTACTAACCTGCCAAGCCACATACCTCATTAGAACCAAAACCTAGACACAGCCTGGACTCCTGGCCAGTCTACTTTCTTAAAGTATTCCCAGTTTAAGCCATTTCAGATCCTTTTAAAACTTTTTAAATAATCTTTTCCCAGTGAGCAATTTGTATTTAGTCTATCTTATGCCTTATTTCAAAATAGCTCACTTTCTGAACATACTGACTGCTTTCTTTCAGGCAATCTGTACAGAAGCTGGTCTGATGGCCTTGAGAGAACGTAGAATGAAAGTAACAAATGAAGACTTCAAAAAATCTAAAGAAAATGTTCTTTATAAAAAACAAGAAGGCACCCCTGAGGGCCTCTATCTCTAGTGAACCATAGTTGCCTTCAGGAGTTTTCTTGACCCCTGAGAGGGTTGAGTTTGGGGAAGTTGCCCAGAAGAATCCATGTTCCTGTTGATTTTTATTAGCAAAACATCCTGTGTATCTTCTGGAGTACGATGTATAGGATGCCCATTGGGCACCTTCTCTTGGTCACTGTGCTGCTCTCTGCTTCCGAATAAAGCGTGCTCTTTCACAGACAGTGATCTTTTTGATGTTTATAAGACTGAATTAATGTGGCTATTGCCTTGAGAGAGAGAGAGAGAGAGAAGGTTCCACCTGTGGACCACATAGGTTCTTGCAACTCTGTGGGAAAGTAAGTTCTGAAGTTCCCAAGAGACTGAGGGTTCCTAAAAGAAACTTCAGGTTAGGACTAAAGAATCAAATTTGTCTCTGGGAGTGGTAGTATTCACCTATAATCCCAGCTACTCAGGAGGCTGAGGCAGCAGGATTTCAAGTTCAAGGCCAGCCTTAGCAGTAGGACTCTACTTCAGAATTTAAAAGGGCTGGGAGTGTAGTTCAATGGTAGTGCACCCATGGGTTAAATCCACAGTATCACCAAAAAAAAAAAAAAAAAAAAAAAACAAAACCTCAGTCCAGCACTGGTCTTCTGCGGCTCATATGGTGTTAGCAGGACTTCATTCCTTTATGGAGGCTCTAGAGGAGAATACAGTTTCTTAACCTGGGAGTCACTGGCAGAATTATTTCTTGGAATTTTAGGAGTTACCTCAGATGTGAGGACCTTTCCCAGATTGTGAAGGCCACACTTATTCCTTGACTCATGCCCATACACCCCTGCTCCCCCAACTCATCCTCAGTCAGCAACAGCAAGCCAAGTCCATTTTGAGTTCTGAATTTTTCCCATCTTTCAGCCCGCCTATCTTTTTCACACTAATGCCATTGTGATTACGAGGACCTACCCAGATAATCCAGGATAACCTCCCCATTTTAAAAAAGACAATTTCTTTACAAAGTTCCTTTTGCCACACAACACTCACATGTTCCAGAGCTTAGGTGTGGGCATCTTTGGGGACCATTCTGCCTACCATGGAGGATATCCCAACAAAGAGGCCCAGTGCAAGAGGAGGAAGACAATGTATGTGTGAGGAAGTGGGGTTCCCAATCAGGCAGCCTGAGAAAGGTCCTTGTCCACATGGAGCAGCAGCACAGCATAGAGACTTGGCATGAGCAGAGTGGGATATTGGCGTGGGCAGGTTAAGAAGCATCCACGTGAAAACAGCCTAACGAGTATTAGAGCCCTTGTAAGTGAGGAGGGCATCCATGCAGGACTGGATAGTGGCAGAAATAGAAAAGGTTGGTTACGTGTAGTTACATAGTGAGAAACCTGGCTCCTGCCATCCTTACTACTATCTGAGAAGTGACAGGTAAGGAAAGTAGAATGTACTCAATCCACTGACAGCCACTAGGAATGGTGACACTCCAATTACAATGAACATACCTAGACCTACATCTTTGCTTCTAAATACCATTTGTGGATTGGGGATGTAGTTAGACGGCTGAGCACTTGTTGAGCAAGAATGATGTCCAGGGCTGGATCTCCAGTACCAGAAAAAGTAAATATCATTCTCCCCTAAAAGGAGCTAGAGTGATTCCAGAGCTGGGCATGAACCTTAAGTATATTTTGCCAGAAAGCAAGAAGTATACAGAATGGACATGTCAAAAGACACTGCCAGTCTGAAGGTGCTGCCACTGGTCAAAATAATTAACATCAATGGAATACAGTCCTTTAAAATAGGAACTGAGCTCGTACTAACATCCATGAATTGAAAACTTGATAACAGGACATTTGCAATTTTCAGAATACCTCCCCACAAAATGCTCTTTAATTAGGGAAAAAGCAGCTTCACGTTGGAGAATCCCAGCAGACACCATCTTAACCTGGTTATCAAAACAAACATCAACAATGAGCATCTTGAAAGTATGTGCTAGCCCAGAGGTGTCAACAAATTCTGGACACTTCAAAAGTGTCCAGATTACCAAAAAAAAAAAAGTTAAAGCTTCTAGACCGAATGAGCCAAAGAGATATACATGATAACCAAGTGTATAGGATCCTCTTCCTACAGAAGACATTGGGACAATCCTTGAGGCCTAACTTTGACCTTAAGATCTTACAGGGAACTATATTCATGCTGATTTCCTATTTGATACTTGCATGGTAATGTGCAGAAAACTATCGCAACTTACCCTCAAGTGGGTCAGGATAAAAAAGCTCCGTGTACAGTCAGCCCTCCACATCCAAGGGTTCCATATCCATGGAGTCAATCCCGGATCAAAAATATTCAGGAAAAATTGTGTACTGAACCTGTATAGACCTTTTTCTTGTCATTACTCCCAAACAATACAGTTAAACAACTGTGTATGTAACATTTGGATTACATTAGGTGTTACAAGTCGTTTAGAGGTGATTTAAAGTATATGGGAAGATATGCATAGGTCATATGCAAAGTTATACCCTTCTACATAAAGGATTTAAGTACATTCTGGATTTCAGAATCCTCAGGGGGTCCTGGAGCCATTCCTCCAATGGATACTAAGGAAAGACTACACTCACTCCTCTGTAAAATATTTTTCAAGTTTCAGACTTTAAAAGAATAAAACATCAGTATTTCCTTCTCCTCCTCGGTGACCTCCAATTCCTCTATCCACAGAGATGTCTCCCTTCTCTCAAAGAAAAGTAGCCAAAGCAAATGCCAGTGCCTACGGTGTCTGAGTAGAGGGAGCTGAGGCACAGTGCGGTCACAGCCTGAACTGTACCCCACCTCCACCCCAATCCAGCTGCCTCTCCATTTAGTTTGCTGACCAAACCAATGCTAAAATTACCATTTCCACCGATGGTCCACAGAGCAAGCCACAGGAAAGAAGTGACTAATAATTTCTTCAGATGAGTTTCTTCTCTGGTTTCTCACCTGGTGAGCAGGGCAGTCAGCTCTGCTGCCTGTGGAAGTCACTAGTCCCTTAAAGCCCTTCCTCAGAAGAAGTATTTTAGGGTGAACTCTCCGATCACTCCCTTATAGCAAGCAGAGGAACTACCCTGTCTTCACTTTTTAAATGCAAAATAACGAAGGAATATGTGTGTATTATGAGCAGCAGCTAACAGAGAGGCTTCTCTTACCTGGACATAGCACAGATGGCACCTCCTGGCTCTTCCTGATCCCTGCAAGTCCAGCAATCCACAAGCCAGAAGTATGGTATACTCCGCTCCACTGTCAATCCAGACCCAAGACAGGGCTGAGCCCTAGGGTCTGAAGTGATAAGAACTCCTTGAGGAATTAATTAGCACTCCTGATAAATATAAGAGCAACTGCCTGACAGACTTGGAGAAATTCAAACCCCTTCTTTTCCCCATCAGTTTGTTAGTTTTGGGAACAACCTAATCATCTTTCATGTTTTTATGTTGAGCAATCTCAAAAGTACCTTAAAAAATCACAATTATATCACTATCCATTTTTCTATAAAACATTTACCCACAGCCAGCCAGGCATGGTTGTGTATACCTGTGATCCCAATGAGGCTGAGGCAGGACGACTGCAAGTCTAAAGTCAGCCTCAGCTACTCAGTGAGACCTGTCTCAAAAAATAAAAGGGGCTGGGTACGGTGGTGCACACCTGAAATCCCAGCAGTTAGGGAGGCTGAGGCAGGAGGATCATGAGTTCAAAGGCAAGCTCACCAATTTAGCAAGGCCCTAAGTGAGATACTCTCTACTAAATTATTTTTTTAAAAGGGCTATGGATGTGGTTCAGTGGTTAAGTGCCCCTGGGTTCAATCCTCAGTACCAAAAACTTCAATAAAGGGGCTGGGGGTGTAGCTCAGTGATAAGTACCCATTTTGTCTCAAGTACAAAAAACTTTAAAAAATACTGCTACCCACAGAGAATTCGTGTGTGTGAGTGTATGTGTGCGTGTGTTAAAGCATATTCTCATGCAGAGGGTAATGTGCCAAAACTCAATGTGAGAAGCTCCTTTATCACATTTCAGGGATTCACTGCCCATTTGCACAATTCATTCCAGGCTCCCAAGGTACAAGGATCCCACTAGGGTATGAGGGGACCAGTTACCCACAGGCCAGTTTCTAAAGTTCTAATCAAATGAGAACAGGTGCAGGAATCAGATAGGATCAAAACATGAGTCACTGTTGTGGGGGATGTGGCTTGGTCCTGGGCTTCAACCAGATGCCCCCAACAGGGTGTGCAAGTTACCCACCCGACAAGAAGGTGAGTGTGGCAAAGACTTTCCTTCGTAAGCTGCCAAGAACTGGGAGCGGGAGGCTCCTCATTTCAGCTCTAGTGGCTCTCAGTGGGTCCAGTTCAGGGCTGAGCTCTCAACTCCCTAAACTCTGCCTGTTTCTGTGAAAAGACACCAGAGGGAGCACCATTAGGTGCCTCTTTGCTGAAGAAACGCACGCAGGGAGGGGCAGGAGGCGGTAGTGACTGGGTATCCTGAGACACTGCCCTTGGAAAGCACGCTGGCACACTGACTCCCCTTCTATTTCCCAACCTGTCCATCAGCTTTGGGCCAAATTTACATCCCACAACACAGGCGTTTCTGTATGGGGGGGGGCAAAGAAATGCAAAATCTTCAGCAATTATACAGATGAGGATTAAAAAAAAAAAAGAGTCCAGAAAGGAGCTATCTGTTTTGCAGCAGGTCTGTGGGCAAGACAGACGCGACATCCCTCCCGCCACATTCATGGTGAAAAGGACTGCACTGCCAATCTCTTCAGAGCAGAAAGAAGCCCGAATGTGGATATTTCTCTCTCATTCTATTCACAGCCCTCAGCAATCAAAAACAGGGCCAGCTGCCACACGGAGGCCAAGCAGACCTCAGTGCTCCCTGCAGAGTCGGGCTGGGTGGGGAAGGTGCTGGCTGCAGTCCGCCCTCTCTGGGATGGTGTCATCAGCAGGCTTTCTGTGGAGGGCTGGCAGGGCTTTCCACTCGTCACTGATGGAGGGCAGACTCTGACTTGCAGGGCTGGGGCAGGCCTGGGAGTCTGCACTGCTCCCAAGATCCCAGGGGATGCTGCTGTGCAGAGGCAGGAGCCACCCAGTGGGGCTCAGGAAATAAGCAGACACCTGCCCCACACCAGGAAGGAACACCAAGGGTTAAACGACCCTCCACTATGCTGGGCTGAGGATAAGGACAAAATCTGCTCTCCTGCCACCCAGCTTCAGAAAGACGT